TCTTATCCCTGAATTAAATTATGCCTAATAGTACTTCTTATCGCTTATGATTCTGAACCCTCCATTGAAAAATAAATATTCTTTCTCTTAGCGTTTTCAAATGCTTAGAGTATCCAAACATACGTAAGTGTGCTGTGCCCTTTTAAGAATATCAACCGTAAAATTCCGGCGAAAACAAACCAACTCTCACACAATCCCAACTCATACCTCCATCCATACACACGAATAAATATTTATCCTTAAAGTGTGAAGTGCGAAGTCGTGTAGACATAATCATCATCTTTTTTTAACCCGAAAGCGACAGGCAAATCCACTGCCAAACAACAATGAAATGAACAATTCTCATCGTTGTCGTTGTCGTCAACACTTTTGGCAGTTAGTATGCATATATGTATGAGTACATGTGTATGCGGTATGTCATACACACCCACACCCCATACACACACACATATATCCTTACACTTTACTGTGTGCCATGAAATTCCCTTTAAATATCTTCAGCGTTGTCGTTGTCGTCATCGTCATCAACATTGTCGCAGAAAATGTACACAAATACCTACTCACAGACATTTGCAGATATGTATATATGCGGATCATAACACCTATAAAGGAGTACATAAAACGGATGCCCTAATGAAACTGTGGTTGCCATCATTAGGTTGTGGAATAATATCCTCCTAGTCATCCTCTTCGCTTAATTCGTAAAATAGCTCAACAAATTTTCCCCGGTAATGATTATATGATTTTTGTGTAAAGCGAATCATTTTTAGGGAGAATATCATATTCGGCTTATTGTGGTGGTTTGTGAGAGGCGGAATTTAAAGGGAAGAAGGAATTTTTCCATTTGAAAATTGGCAAAATTTTAAGGGGATCATGTAATATAAGATGAAAGGATATAAAATTAAACAAGTAAAAAAGTTGTAAGTTCGGCCGGGCCGAACTTTGAATACCCTCCACCATTTTGTACAAATTTGGCAATTTTCAAAAAAAAAAAAAAAAAAAAAAAAAAAATCCATTAAAAATTCTGTTAAAATCTTAAAAATACCGAATGTAGCGGTCTATACGACGACGTGGACCTGCATAGGCAACCTTAGTTATAAGCTATTATAATATTCAAATGCTTAACTTGAAAAAATCTGTTTATAATGTAACTAAAATAATCAAAATACCGAATATAGAGAGGCACATTACGTGGACCTGCACAGAAAATTTTCTGGCATAGGCTGTAGTATCCATTACGAACTTCAAATTCCAAATTTGAAACCATTCCGGTAAAATAATGTCGCAAAAATCATCAAAATACCGAATATCGAAGGGTACAGTTATATGGGGGCTATACGAAGACGTGAACCTGCACAGAAAATTTTCTGTCATAGGCTGTAGTATCCATTGCGAACTTCGAATACCAAATTTGTAACAATTCCGGTAAATAATGTCGCTAAAATCATCAAAATACCGAATATTGGAGGTTACCGTTGACCGATGACATGACCGATTTTCTGTCTTAGGCTGTAGTACCCATTGCGAACTTCAAATACCAAATTTGAGACAATTCTTTTAAATAATGTCGCTAAAATCATCAAAATACCGAATATCGGGGGTACCGTTATATGGGAGCTATACGAAGACGTGGACCTACATAGCCCATTTTCAGTACCAAAAGGCCCGCAGACTTAATACACATTTGAGTAAATTTTTATAAACTTATTACATTTCGTTCGGAAGCTAGAGTGATTTCCACAGACGGATGGACATCGCTAAATCGACATAGAATTTTATGCTGATCAAGAATGTATATACTTTGTGGGATCTAAAATGTATATTTCGAGGTGTTACAAACGGAATGACAAACTTAATATACCCTCCATACTGTGGTGGAGAGTGTAAAAAGATCATTGCCATATCAAAGCCTAGAAAATACAGCTATGGCTAGAATTCTGAAATTCGGCAAGAATATTGCTTTAAGAGGTTAGATAGCGGAAGAGTGATTTTTTAGGAAATCCGTACAATTTTTGGTAATAATTTAGTAACCTTACAATCTTCAAATTCATGTCGATCAATATCGACACCAGCTAATGTAAAAGTTTTAGAAATTCGATCCAATAAGGCACTAAATATGTCCGAAAATCGGTGTTTGTGTACCCTCAGCTATATGGCTACAGAGGGTATATCTCATTGGATACGGCCAAAATGTGCCTCGAAATAACTAGGTCTCTTTGCACCAAATCCATTTCAGGACATCTGGAGTCGATCTAGGGGTGTCCGTCAGTCTGTCTGTTGGTCTGTCACAATAACTCTCGAAGGGAGTGTCCAATTTGTTTCAAAGTTGGTACATCGCAGTATTACTGTCAAACTTAGATTGAGTTCGGAGATGGGCAATACCTCTCCCACTCCTTCTAATACCACTTCCACAAAAGTTCAAAAGAGTCATCAGTGTTAGGTGAAGCAGTAAAATGGAAAATATTGGTCCACACCATCAAGTACCTCCTCTCACAATGGGTCAAAATTTGGAATAATTGTATCTCTTATAAAATGTGAACTAAGAGTCCGATTGTTTTCAAACATCCCAATATTTCTGCCAACACAAGATCTTGTGTGAAGACCGAATATATCGGCCCACTCTATCAAGTACCTCCCTTTCACAAATGGTCAAAATTTGTGATAATTATAGCTCGTATAAAATATGAAATAAGAGTCCGAATGTTGCATATCTCAATATTTCTATAAACACAAGGTCCGACGCGAAGATGGGATATATCGGTCCACTTGTTGTGGTACCTCTCCCACAACGGATCAAAATTTGGAATAGTCATGATTTTGTTGTGTACATGGTAGATATCAACCGTTGCCTTCAGGCACCTGTCCCCCACAATGGGTCAACATTTGGAATAATTGTTACTCCTATACACATTTTATATATCTTATGCAATATTATAAGAGTCGGAGTGTCTTTAATGTTCACACATCCCAATATTTTTATTAACACAAGATCTGATGCGAAGATGGGATATATCGGACCACAGCGGCTTAAAATTTATAATAACCATAAAGCTCAAAAAACCCGAAATGAGCATCCGATTTCTTTTAAACTCGGCACATCCCAATACTTCTACTAACACAAGATCTGTTGTGAAGCTCACTCCTTCTGGTAGGTAGGTGACTATTGACTATGATCAGCCCAAATGGACTGAATTTTGACACCTCCGAAGGAATTCATCCTAAAAGAAAGTGCTTCAAAATCTGTTGAAAATCGATTCAAATGGAGCTATAGCTCCCATATATATGTTCTATACGATTTGGTGCTTAAATCCCTCACAAGCGAAATATGCACATTGATATTTGATACCACCGGACACCAGATATAGCTTGAAGATACCTGTGCCAAATTTTATCGAGATCGTTTAAGATCTTTATGTAGCTTCAATATACATATTCATCCGATTTTACGGCTTTTGCTCATCTTATACGGAATATCAGTCCAATATTCGTAGATTTTTTTATATTTAACCGATTTTTTTCGTTTGGGGAAACTCGGTCCGATGTAACTATTGTTCTAATAAATATGTTTTAATATAATCCGTATCTAAGTCATAGCATGCACTATACAGCAAGATTATTTGGTACACGATGTACAAAAGCCTTCGTCAAATTTGTTGAAAATCGATTCAGATTTGGATATAGTTCCCAAATTGTGACTACTCTAAAGGCTTGATACTCATTCAAATAAGGTTCATAGTTGATATAATCTACTTCACATGAATTCCCCATATATATATATATATATATATATATTTTTTTTTTTTTTGTTCCAGAAGCTCTACTAAATACACATATGTAGTTGTGTAGGGTATCTTATAGTCGGCTCCGAACAACTTTCAAACTTTCCTATTTTTTTTTTTTTTTTGTTTTTGTGAAATACCAAGATTCTCTTCCAAAGACCTACGAAGAGCAATAATCCCATTTTTTGGAAAAATAATAACTCCCACATTCCTTATCCGACAAAAGTTAAATGCAATTTTCATCAACCCATCTTTTTCATTGCTTCCCTAAAAAGGCCAGTGATGACGGCAGAATGATTGTGGTGCTGGTGGTGAATCATGAGACCGAACTTTTCGGCAGTCGACGAGAGCTGTTGCATTAAAAATTAAAAAACCCCAACAATGCTTAAAAAAAAAATAAAATAAAAAAATAACCAAAAGAAAAAGTTTTATATTCCGCAATTTTTTTTCTTCGCATGAATTTTGTATTGCGCACTACATCCATCATCAAAGAAACAAACAAAAACTGAGAAAATTAAAATATATGAAAAAAAACGTAAAACTCCAAAGCGGGTTTGGAAGAAAATATCATCAAACATTAAGCGGGGCTGCTGTTGCCGAAAGAAAATAAAACTCTTCGCTGAAAGAGCATAGTTTTACTTTTTAAGAACGTCAACCAATATCTTCTTTTTCCTTCTTTGGATATCCTTCTATGTTTTCCTTTAGCTTTCTTTTAGTTTCTTATTTGTTGGCAACGTCTATTCCCATAGCTCATGGTTGCAGCGATTATTGTGGCGGTAAGCGTTGTTGCTGCTGCTGTTGTTGTCTTCTACGCTCAGTTGTTTATTCTTTATGATGAGTGAAAGAAATTTACAGCCTGTTCCACGATCTCGAAAGAAAATTTGTGCGAACGAAGGCTACTCACTCACTTTCGCATAAGAATGCGTTCCACTAACTTTCGTTCTTTCTTTCGCATAGCCTTACGTGATTCAGTGTTGCAAAATATTTTTTGGCAAAATTAATCGCGAAATAAGGCAAAAAAAGCGCCAAATGTCTAATATAAACGCGAAAAAAGCAGCAGTGGCTCTGTCTCAACTGACAGTTCAGTTGTAAACAAACAAATTGTAAATAAACAAACAAAATAAAATTTCTAGTGATTGTGTTCAGGTTATTTGTGTTCTTAAAAAAGAAAAAAAATGAATATTTCTGTAGCCCTATTTTTTATGGATGATGAGGAGGAGGTTCAAATTGTGCCACGGAGGCATTTAAGAGATGCTTCGAATTTATTTGAAGTACCTAACAACCAGTAAGTATGATTGTATTTTTACATTTTTAAAATAATAAAAAAATGATTTTTTCTAGGTTTGTGTCTTCCAGTGGTCTTCATGGGATTGCCTGCTACTTCCAAAAATTGGCACTCCTCTGGCGAACTTAGGATTCTCCCCCATATACTCAACTAGTGCCCGCAGCTGTGTAGTTTTTTCGTGCTGGAATTGAGAAAATAAAAAAATATATATTTGTTGTTCACAGATTAAATTGCATTTATTATTTTTACTTACATTTTTCTTTCCATTTTCAATCAAGGAATGTTTATGTTAAAACAATTTTCCTTAATTTTTATTATTCGACAGCAAACACACAAGTGACTGATTTTGACATTTGTGTTCGCATGCGTACGAAAGAAAAAAGATAGTGGAACGCAAAATTACACTGAAACGCTTACGTTTTCGTTCGCTTTGATTTTCGTGCAAATTTTCGTTCTGATGGATTTTAGTGGAACGGAAATCAGCTGTTTGTCGTGTAAAAGTTGTGCGAACGTGTTCTTTCGACATCGTGGAACAGGCTGTTATTTAATAAAAAGAAGTTTACAGCGGCACACAAAAAAGAGGAAAGCTGAAATGAAAAAAAAGAGACAGAAAGAAACTGATGAGAATAAGCCAAAACGAATCGAAAATATGCTTCTATAAGAAAACTAGCAGGTCTTCTATGAGAGAAGACAAACAGGTCTTCTATGAGAAGACCTACAAGTTTTCTATGAGAGAAGACCAACAGGTCTTCTATGAGAGAAGACCAACAGGTCTTCTATGAGAGAAGACCAACAGGTCTTCTATGAGAGAAGACCAACAGGTCTTCTATGAGAGAAGACCAACAGGTCTTCTATGAGAGAAGACCAACAGGTCTTCTATGAGAGAAGACCAACAGGTCTTCTATGAGAGAAGACCAACAGGTCTTCTATGAGAGAAGACCAACAGTTCTTCTATGAGAGAAGACCAACAGGTCTTCTATGAGAGAAGACCAACAGGTCTTCTATGAGAGAAGACCAACAGGTCTTCTATGAGAGAAGACCAACAGGTCTTCTATGAGAGAAGACCAACAGGTCTTCTATGAGAGAAGACCAACAGGTCTTCTATGAGAGAAGACCAACAGGTCTTCTATGAGAGAAGACCAACAGGTCTTCTATGAGAGAAGACCAACAGGTCTTCTATGAGAGAAGACCAACAGGTCTTCTATGAGAGAAGACCAACAGGTCTTCTATGAGAGAAGACCAACAGGTCTTCTATGAGAGAAGACCAACAGGTCTTCTATGAGAGAAGACCAACAGGTCTTCTATGAGAGAAGACCAACAGGTCTTCTATGAGAGAAGACCACAGGTCTTCTATGAGAGAAGACCAACAGGTCTTCTATGAGAGAAGACCAACAGGTCTTCTATGAGAGAAGACCAACAGGTCTTCTATGAGAGAAGACCAACAGGTCTTCTATGAGAAGACCAATAAGTCTTCTATGAGAGAAAACCTTAAGCTCTTCTATGAGAAGACCCTCTGGTCTTCTATGAGAAGACCCTCTGGTTTTCTATGAGAAGACCCTCTGATCTATGAGAAGACCCCCTGGTCTTCTATGAGAAGACCCTCTGGTCTTCTATGAGAAGACCCTCTGGTCTTCTATGAGAAGACCCTCTGGTCTTCTATTAGAAGACCCTCTGGTCTTCTATGAGAAGACCCTCTGGTCTTCTATGAGAAGACCCTCTGGTCTTCTATGAGAAGACCCTCTGGTCTTCTATGAGAAGACCCTCTGGTCTTCTATGAGAAGACCCTCTGGTCTTATATGAGAAACCCTCTGGTCTTCTATGAGAAGACCCTCTGGTCTTCTATGAGAAGATCCTCTGGTCTTCTATGAGAAGACCCTCTGGTCTTCTATGAGAAGATCCTCTGGTCTTCTACGAGAGAGGACCAACCGGTCTTCTATGATTGAGGACCAACCGGTCTTCCACGAGAGAAGACCTATAGCTCTTCTATGAGAAGACCTATAGCTCTTCTATGAGAAGACCTTAAGGCTCTTCTACGAGAAGACCTTAAGCCTCTTCTATGAGAAGACCTTAAGCCTCTTCTATGAGAAGACCTTAAGGCTCTTCTACGAGAAGACCTATAGCTCTTCTATGAGAAGACCTATAGCTCTTCTATGGGAAGACCTATAGCTCTTCTATGAGAAGACCTTCTGGTCCTCTATGAAAAGACCTTCTGGTCTTCTATGAGAAGACCTTCTGGTCTTCTATGAGAAGACCTTCTGGTCTTCTATGAGAAGACTTTCTGGTCTTCTATGAGAAGACCTTCTGGTCTTCTGTGAGATCTTCTGGTCTTCTATGAGAAGACCTTCTGGTCTTCTATGAGAAGACCTACAGGTCTTCTTTGAGAAGAGCTACAATAGCTCTTCTATGAGAAGAGCTACACTAGCTCTTCTTTGAGAAGACCTTCTGGTCTTCTATGAGAAGACCTTCTGGTCTTCTATGAGAAGACCTTCTGGTCTTCTATGAGAAGACCTTCTGTTCTTCTATGAGAAGACCTTCTGCTATTCTGTGAGAGGACCTTCTGGTCTTTTATGAGAAGACCAACAGGTCTTCTATGAGAAGACCTTAAGTTCTTTTATGGTAATACCTTCTGGTCTTCTATGAGAAGACCCTCTGGTCTTCTCTAAGAAGACCTTCTGCTATTCTACGAGATGACCTTCTGGTTTTCTATGAAACTATCATCAGGTCTTCTATGAGAGGAACTTCTGGTCTTCTATGAAAAGGTCTTCCTCGTCTTCAGTGAGAAGGCCTTCTGGTCTGATTTGAGAATACCTTCTGTTCTTCTATGAGAAGACCTTCTGGTCTTCTATGAGAAGTCCTTCTCGTCCTTCTATTTGTTAAAGAAAATTTAGGAACTAAATACTTTAAAGAAAAATACTTTATTTTTTTAACGAAATATATTTTTTCCGCTCACACACACACTTATACACGCACATGGAACCCTCAAAACAAACATTCACATTCAAGGAAAGCCGTTGGCTCTGTGTGAGTGGGCGGGGAGATGTGTTGTGCCAAGGAAGTGTGGCCATGCAACAAATTACGTTTCATTAAATATTTATAAGATTTGTTTACATATTTGCAAAAAAATTGTTGTTTTTATTTAACTCGTTGTTGATGGCAGTGGCGTTGGAGTTTGTTTTGCTTTGGCCTCCCCCCAGCACATCACCGGTGGCGGAAAACGAGTTTTTCCTGGCGTTTTCCAGGCAGTCTTCCTGCCATCGCTCCCCCCCCGAAACAACACACAACAAAACAAAAAAAAGGATCACGCAACGGTGTGACGGGAGGATGAACAACATGAATTCTACATGTTTAAATTTTTCACACATCGTTGAGTTTTATTCTGCATGTTAGAAACGGCAACAACAACTACAACACCGGTCATAAAAATAAAAATAACAACAATGCCAATGACAATAACAAAAAAAGTGTCATACAAAACACCAACTGAAAAAAAATAAAAGAAAATACAAAATTCACTCACTCTTCCTCTCTCTCTCTCTTCCACTACCCCTCACTAACACACCAACATCCTCTGAACCCTATGCCGGAATCCTTTACATATTGAGGTATATTGTTGTGGTTCAGCAGGCATCACAATAACAACAGCAGCAACAACAACAACAACAGCCACACCATCAACCATGGCAATGACGTTAAAGCTGAGAAATTTTATTAACTGATATTTCCCCCCGTTTCCGGCTGGCAATGCAAGCGATACAGGATGCCAGGGCAAACAACTGAGCAACAAAACATTTTTCTCTCTCTCTCTCTGCCGCTCTTCTTCTCTGGCTGAGAAAAATTCAAATTTTGTCACCAAAAAAAATGGCAGGAGAAAAAGAATTCAATGTAGCAACAAAATAAAAGAGTTTTGCAACAACAAAATTTAATAAAAACATTTTGGAATAAATTACACAAAAGTTATAACAATAAACTTGTTAAATGGCTTATAACATATTTAAAAGTTTTGTCCATGGGCATGTGTGTGTATGTGTGGTGGGTATGTGTGTGTGTTCGAAGGATATCACAAAATGAATTTGTTTTTACCAAGAAATTTCTTGGTGATAAATGATGATGATATCCCAAAGAAGGAGACAAGGACAAAGGTCGATATGTGGAGAATTCGCAGACAAAAAAAAGGAATGTCATGATATCTTGTCCGCATGCTTAAAAGGATGAAAGATTAGAAAAAAGTCCACAATTCTTGATAAGATTTAAACAAAAAATGTAAAATAGAGGGTAAATGGGGTTGGAGTGAAATCATTGGAAAATATGTCTCAATTCATCCGATTGCTAAAAATCATGCCAATACGGTTAGGATATGTCTTGAAACCCCTCATAAGCCACTCGTCCGACAGCTGGTAAAATTATTCCAGTGATAGCTCATTATATTGTTTACAAGCGGACAAAAGCATTTTGATGAGAATTTTCCAGAAAAAAAGTTATTTGTGATGGAATTCAAGCGTGATAGTGTGATTTTTTTATATTTGGCTGGAAAGCCACAAGCGGCTATCGTTAGAGCACTCCAGCATTTAAATGTGAATAAATCTTTTGTGTCTCGTACCATCGCTCGTTATCGTGATACTGGTAGCGTAGCCCGACCTCAAGGAAGTGGACGGAAGAAAACAGCAATATCAGCAGAAATGGTTCGAAAAGTAGAGAAGCGACTTGATCGAAACCCGCGTCGCAGTGGCCGAAAAATGGCTCGTGAGCTGCACATATCGCAATATTCCATTCTGCAAATATTGAAAAATGAGCTCGGGGTAAAGCCGTTGAAATTTCAAAAAGGGCAAGAACTTACACCGCAACCTAATGAAAATAGACTCAAAAAATCTAACGAATTTCTTCGCTCGGCCGAAAGTGGTGAACTGCCGAATTTGATTTTCTCCGATGAGAAAACATTTTGTTGTCCAGCAGTTTGTAAACAAACAAAATGATCGTGTTTACTTGCCAAAGAGGTGTGTACACCTTCGGTTGGCCACCAGAACTCAAGCGCCGACCATGGTGATGGTGTGGGCCGCCATAACAGCCGATGGTCGCTCTCCGCTCGTATTAATCGATCGTGGCATTGGAATAAATGCCGAATATTATCGCAAAAATATTCTGGAGGGTGTATTAAAGCCTTGGGCACGCACACATTTTGGCCGCAGACCTTAGACATTCCAGCAGGACTCAGCATCATCGCACTAAACACGCGCCTCCCAAGAATGGTTAAAAAAATGAGGTCGCTCGCTTCATTTCCAGCGCCACAATGGCCACCAAAATCTCCGGATACCAATCCGTTGGACTATTGTGTCTGGAGTATTTTGGAAAGTAAGGTTGGCACTAAAAAATACCAAAGTGTCGATCACCTGAAGCAAGCGCTTCGCCGGGAATGGACCAAAATACCGCAGAGCAGCGTTCGTGCAGCGTGTGACGGTTTCATTGGCAGTTTTTTTATCTCACCCTGTATATCACTTCATACGGCCAAACGTGCCACATAGAAATGTATTTCTTTTGAACCCTA